GCACAGTGCACGTGTGGGCATGTCCGGTGTCCATGTGCGTGTGGATGCATTAATGTAGGTGTGAGGCGTGTGAGTGGGTGAGCGGGGTGTGTGATTGGGTGTGGGGTGTGTGGTTTGGTGTGGAACGTTTTGTTGGGTGTGATGTTGAGTGTGGGGTGTGTGGTTGAGTGTGGAGTGCGTGGTTGGGTGTGGGTGGATGTAGTTGTGGACTACGTTGGTGAGTGTATGCGTGGGATGTGTATGTGGGTGAGTGTGGGTGTGGGGTGTGGTGTAGGATGTGTGCTTGGCTGTGGGTGTCGGGTGTATGGGTTATAGTACGGGTGGTATAGGTGTGGGATGTGCACGGGTGGGTGTGGGTATGTGGGTAGGTTAGATCTATCTGTGGCCAGTGGTGTGAACGCATGTTTTCGAGTGTACATGTGCTTGGAACCATCTATACAATCTATTCCAATTACAATGTTTACCCATTTTAAGAAGATGTTTTTCTCATCCCGTTATCGTGAGAGGGTAGGCAGATCAATCTGGCTTCATATTATACTGAGGAGTAATTGCACGGGCAGCGGGACAATAATGAGGATAGAGTGCGACGTAGCGTAAACAACATTCGGTGGAACGGGCGCATTTAACGGCACCTGTAATGCGCGTGTATGCTGGCTGCTGCTGCTGCTGCATCAGCCGTGCTGTCACTGAGTTGGGATGCAGTTTACTGCGACGTCGCACACTAATATAGACACACGGATGTGCGGGTGAAGTATATAGTTTTGGTGATCTCTGACATTTATAGCGCCGAAGAGCTGCGTGGGACAGTGGGAATTGTGTAAATGCCTATAAAGTGACATGTATGTGAGAGGTACCGAGTGGCGCGCGGTCGCATGTCCGGTTGGTGGCTGGTCAGTACAGCGGGCCTGTGTTGTCTTTTGCTTCTGTGTTGAGTCATCTCGATATATGCTAGCGTGGGATGTTGTGAAAATGAAAGGGTATAAGTAACGGTATTTATAGGTAAAAACTGTCGGGCACTAGTCAGGATTTAGAAAACTGTGCCGCACGATTACCGTTAAGGTATGTCACGTCCCTATTAGCTAATTAGCTATAAGTTATGAAATGATATTTCGATTGATCATGCAATCATTGTCTCTGAACTTTAGTAAATTTACTATATATATGTTCTTTAGTGGTAGGAGCTCTAACAGAATAAATTTGTCATGCTCACAAATTGTAGTTAGGATGTTTGATGCAATTGTCAGCAACTATAATTATTGTGAAATTATAATAAAAGTAATATTTGGTTCTCATACAGCACATATGTAATCAATATCTTGTCTCAATTCAATAGTATGACGCATGTATCACACATATCAGTCGTGAAAAAAAATCAAATTTGTGTTTAACTTCTCATATATATATATATATATTATATATATATATATATATATATATATATAATATATGTGTGTATATATATATATATGTAAGGTAGCCATATGTCATGCACTGAGTGTAAATATTGTGTCCTATGGGTTCTAAGTTTGTGATCCTGCGTAGTATTTCTGTTCACATGCGTTCATTCAAGGTGTGGCTCGTATATCCCGTTTGCTGCTAGTTTTGCTGGCAGTGAGTATAGGGGGTACAACTTGATGGTAGATAATGCATTTATGCATCAGACATTACATAATTTGTGTAGCCCCGGGGCAACGTTCAAGTACATTACAATTCAGCGAGTGACTAATAATAACGTCATTGACGCGGGGATTGGTGCAGGGATCAAGGGTCACCGAGTCAGTCGCACCTACACATATAAACAACTTTAGTTACATCAGGAGTGAAATACTAACACACGATAACAGAATTGTCATTAGCACTAATTTAATCATTAGCACAACTCTAGTGCACTGTGCTGTGTGATAGCTTGTTCATGTAACCATGGCAATTATTGCTTGTGTAAAGGCAGTCAACATACACCCACAACAATGTTTGCTAACGTAGATTGTTGTGACGGAGACCTTGTTGATTGTTGGAATGGACATATGAAGGTCAGACGCACTCACTGTTTAGATGGCATTGTTGGCCAGTCTGGCAGTTGTGTGGCAGTATCGATCACTATCACTATAGATCACTATACGACTTCAAAACGGTCTTGTTTGACAGGTTGATAGGCTGGCTTTCTCGTAGACCTGTGTAGATGGTATCTGTCGCATTCATACATCGAACTTTTGTATTTTGGCATGGTCAATCACTGTGTGGGTGCACGCAATGTATGTTACGATATATTGACCATGTATTTTATATCTTTTGCAGGCCAAAAAAATGCAACCGCAGAGTAACGCATCTTCTGCCGGGTAAAACTCTTCAGTACTTAGGCCGTATATGTTCACTTAGATATATGTTTACTAATAGTAATAGCAGCTGTTGAATCGTTTCTGAGCACTTAGTAATCGTAAAAGTTCATTCTAGAAATGCAGTTTAGGGATTTAGGATATTAGGTGTTTACGTAAACGTAAACGTGGAGTAAAATATTGTCATGTTTGCCGTGTGCATATTATATTGCCGTCACGTAATTGTAACCACGTACGTGTGTCTGTTCTTTAGTGTCGGCAGTTCCCCTCTCCAAGATGTTACCTGTGAGAATATTACCAGCGATGACAACTTGAGCCCAAGTCCATCAAAGAATGCAATGCCTCTTTCCAAAAAGAAGGCCGAAGACTATATTTTTGGAAAGATCATAGGAGAAGGTTCTTTTTCAACTGTGAGTGTCCAGCTGGTGTTTGAGACTCCAGTTTGTTTCAGGCGTACTTAGGAACTCTCATGTACTCCTGTTGTTAAGTTCAGTAATAGAAATAGAGAACAATTTTATCACTGTGTTAGCATATTGCCTTTATTGGTTTTGTAAATGAATTCTTGGTCTCTTTCATACAGGCAGTAAACTGCTGTATCATGCTGTGTATTTTTTTTTAGGATATTATTAAATTTTAATGAAAGGGTCACATTTTACTCAAGAATCCTCTAAAGATTCGCTAGGAATGTCGCATAAAAGAAACAACATTACTACTTGATCTAATAAATATTTTAGTAATTATATAGTCTTCGTAAGTAGATGCATAATACACGTGCATGATTAGAAATCTGTACTCAGCAAGTGTTTGTGTTTTGTCTTTGTAGGTATTTTTAGCCAAAGATATCCAAACGCAAAAAGAATATGCAAGTAAGTGTAAGCGTACAGTACACGGTTACGAGCAAATAAGTGGACATAAGAAAAGTCACGGTTAGGTTTCGCGCTCGCAAACCGCCGATCGTCGACGCGAGGTGGCGGCTCGAATTTTGCGCGAGAGTGGAGGCGGTCGAACGAAGTAGTAGCACATCTAACACGTGTCGACATATTTAACATATATATCTTACACGGTCAACACATGTTACACGGTGTAACAGCCGCGCTTGCAGTAAAAGTTTGCGAGAAGCAGCACATCATTCGAGAGAAGAAGACGGCGTACATCAAGCGAGAGAAGGAGGTGCTGATGCGTCTCGGAGCCGGACCTTCCCCTTTCTTCGTCAAACTGTTCTGCACGTTCCAGGACCGCGATCGACTATGTATCCTCTTGGTTTATTCCCGGTTGGCCTTAGGCCAACTGGGATGTTACCGTCCTCTTCACTGAACCAGCGAATCTTTCTTTTTTTGATTTTGTTCGGTTTTAGAAGTTATTCGCGCGCTGTGTTTGTCCTGGTCGTTGTTTTTTGAGTGTGTTGTGCAAAATCAGATTTTCTTCAACTCTAGGCCATCCTTAAAAAATTATATGTTTGCTGTCCTCCGACCTCGAAAATAGCCGCGACCCAAACGTTTTTTTTTACGTTTTGGGTTTCATAATTTTATTTTTTTACATTTTTTTTTAAACATTTTTTATAGTTAAGACTGAAACACAAAGCATGAGGACAAGACTTATTAGTATTGTTAGTATTATTAGACAATAACTATTATGCCTCAAAGAAGCGATTTCGTGCCCACCCTATCTGTGCCACCCACGCGCGTGCACTCGCGTTGTCGCCTTAATCGAGTCGTCTCAGATTTTGTGCTCAGCTACGCTAAGAACGGCGAGCTGCTCTCTTACATACACCGTGTCGGCAGCTTTGACGAGGACGTGTCCAAGTTTTACGCGGCCGAGATCGTTCTCGCGCTCGAGTACATGCACAGTCGCGGCATCATTCACAGGCAAGTCTCGCTGTGATGGTGGCGGCGGCGGTGGCGGCAGTGTGTGTGTGTGCGTGTGTGCGTGCGTGCGTGCATGCAGGTGTGCATGTGTGCCTGCGTGCGTGCGCGCGGGTGTGCATGTGTGTGTAGTGGAGGGGTTTGGACCACCACGCTGCATCATCGACGGGACGTGCTGCCATCGTCCCGCTCCTTGATGTCCGTCACGCCTTGAAAGTCTGGGCCCAGTTGTCGGAAACAAAATTAGTCTTAACATCAATTTTAACATTTACTTTTTCTCGTAGAACGTTAACAGAATTATGGTAACGTCACAAATCTCACAATTGTGTACTACACAATACTTAAGTATCTCATATGCTGTGTATAGCGGTCCGGTCTAAGGGGACAAACTTAATGGTAAGGCTAATATTAAAGATTATTTTGCTTCTGACAATTGGCCCCTGGCAGCCATTCACGGCAATGAATTGCCAGTGGCTGCCCTACCCGATTTGCTGGCGTGCCCTTCCCATTAATTCAGTGTTGTGTGTGTGACCGTTCCCGGTTTACCTTGAAAGTTGGTCTCCCTGTGTTGTTCCGTAACACGTGTGCCACTGCTTTCAGGGACCTGAAGCCAGAGAACATACTCCTCAGTGAGGGAATGCACGTCATGATCACTGACTTTGGATCGGCAAAAATCCTAGATGCAGAACAAGGTATTGTGCCATTGATCGTCGCTAGATGGCAGCAGTAGTTTTTGTGGTTGTAGCAGGGCGAGAGTCCGCCGCCGGAAGTAGTTGGTCTATAGATTCGTTTTCGAAGTGATTCGTTGGTGTTATCTCATTCAGACGAAAGCAATTCACCGACCGGAACTAGTCCACCAGCTGGCAGCACTGTGCCTGCTAAGCCACGCAGAAACTCCTTCGTTGGTACAGCACAGTATGTTTCCCCTGAACTACTCAACAACAAGCCAATTTCTAAAAGGTAATTTTGTGTGCCAGCACAAGTTTAAATGGTTTCACATACATTGTGCATGTTGTCTACCAGTAGTATTGGCGGTAGCAGTGGCAGCGGTAGCAGTGGCAGCGGCAGCAACAGCAGCAGCAGCAGTGGCAGCAGCAGCAGCAGTAGCAGTACAGCAGCACACCAGTAGCAGCACAGGAGCAATAGCAGGTGTAGCTTTTAGATTTAAGCACTGCTGTTTTGAAAGTAATGTTTTGGCTTTGCACGTTATGTGCAATTTTTAATCATATCCAGTGATTCTTGACATCTTGTGAACAATAAGCTAGTTTTAATACTTAAAATACCTGGAAGGTGTCATTTGTAATACTTCGTTTGTAGAGGAAAAGTGGACGATAACAGTTGTTTACATCTGGTATCCCTGACCTTGATCCTTTTGGAATAGTTATGCGAGTAATATTTCTCATGAATTACGCACAGGTGGCCCCTATTCTAATCTAATCATTAATATGACACACGGATTATTTATCACATAAATGTGTTACGCTTTTGTTTGCATACATGTTCGTTCTATCTCATTATCTGCTATAAATATGTCTCATAAATGCTGTTTTCAGTTTAGACCTTTGGGCACTCGGAGCAATTATCTATCAGTTTTTGTCTGGCCTGCCTCCATTCAGAGCTGGGTATGTTTCTGCCTGACACTCATATATATAGAACTGAACAAGAATAAACCTTGCTATAATGATGTTATTTAATATAGTGTAATATAATGACATATTCTAATTGCATCTTGATGCTAGTAAGTATGAGTTGTCACTGCAAAATTTTCCCCAATTATTAAATTGGTTGACTCGACTCTAATGAATGCTGATTGTGTAATAGAGTAGAATTTAATAAAGAGAGTTTTGTCTCTTTTAGCTACTTATGTTGTAACGCAGTATCTTCATTATTCTCACAGAAACGAATATTTGATATTCCAAAAAGTTGTCAAATTGGAATATGACTTCCCAGAAGGCTTCAATGAAGTGGGGAAGGACCTTGTACAGAGTCTGTTGGTGAGTGTTTACTCATATTAAACAGAGAATCCATATATCCTTAAAATCATATATGTATAAATATATAAATTCATATTCGAGTCTCCGTCTGTTTGTGGGTCAACAACGCATATATATTATTTTGTACTGTATGTGACGAAACGTTACTATCTCCAATGTATCAAATGGCTTCTTGACGGTATTTGCGATCGCACTGGTATTTATTCCAGGTACTGGATGCAAAGAAGCGACTTGGATCTGATGAGTGTGGTGGCTACAAGGCCCTTAAGGCGCACGCATTTTTCAACGGCATCCCCTGGGGCAAGCTAGACATTGTGACGCCTCCACCGATCGTACCGTTCTTACCCGCGGTCAGGGACAACCCAAACTTCAAGAGCGAGGTAACAACGCTTCCGGACATTCGGACGCTTTTGTCGGAGGTGGATGTGGCGAGTGTGCTCGTTGCTGTGTAATGTAAAGTGCAAAATATACATCTATGTATATATATCAGGGGGCCGTTGTCAGAAACAAAATTAGTCGCAACATTAGTCTTACCATTAACTTCCACTCGTAAACCGTTGACAGAAACATCGTAATGTTGCGAGAACGAAAAATCCTCGCAAATATCCTCATAACATTACGAGAGCCCAGACCCTCTCGTAACTTTAATATTAAGATGAAAATAACACATTTAGACTAAGAATTACAATTATAGTGATATTTATGTTTTATAAATAATGAAATTAAAATTGTGTTTTTCTTGGAAAATGGAGCTGTTCAAATCACTTAATTATCTACCGCTAATAAAACAAAACAATACATTTACAAATGGCGTATGGCATTTGTTCTCTTGTTCTAAAGGTTTTCCACGCTTGCCACGACTCTCGCGTCTCGCGTTACAGTGTGAGAATTTGTCTTGTTGTGCAGAATTAATTCATGACCACGTCGTTTTTCATCAAATATTGTTTATATGTGGTTAGCCATCATAATATGCATAAATTACTGTGATGTACAATAAATGTGTATGAATTTGATTTTTGTGATTGATTCTCATCCAATCAGCAGCCTTGTGATGAAGTTCCTGTTATCGTAAGTTTTCTAATAGCTGCGATGTGTTTCTGTCAACGCTAGTCTCGCAACATTAGCATTAGTCGTAAGTGTTATCGTAGCATTAACTTTAGCATTAACTTTACGATGTTTCTGACAATGGGCCCCATGTTCTCATAATTTGTGATTATTTACTTCTCAGTGTTTCCCCTGCATTTACACGAGCGAGGCGGGCCGCCTCGCTCAAATTCTCAGCCGCCACACAGAAATTTGTCCAAAACACCCCCTCACTGACGAAAATCACTGTTCTTCCATTAATAAACTACACTTTATTGAACTAAAAGTTGCGTTCACACGGTCATGGTTTGGCTCGAGCCAAATGGGCTAGATTTGGCTCGGGCCGGTTTGAGTCGGAGCGTTCACACGTACGCAAGTGAATACTGTCTGTCAAATTCAAATTCAAATTCAAATAAATTTTATTGCACAAATATCTCACAGATACTTTGGCAGTATTTTGCGAGATGGCATTGTGTACGATTCAGAGTGTTTACTTACGTTCCGAGTTCAATTATCAATCTTGAAAACGTGCATCCTGATCAAATTTTGCGAATTTTTATACTGTTTTGGACTTTATTTTGTCGAAGTACACGTTCGACACTCGTGGCATCTACCGCTCAACCGATTCTACCGCCCTACCGCTCGCCGAAAGCTGGTGCTAAAATTTGGCTCGGGCCTGGTCCGACGTTTTCGATGGGACCAAATCTGGCACGGGCCTAATTAGGCTCGGGCCAAAAACGTCCGTGTGAACGCGCGGCTCGAGCCAAATCTGGCGTGGGTCTAATTAGGCTCGGGCCAAAAACGTCCGTGTGAACGCGCCTGTAGTCTCTTACAATGTGTTCAGAGTAGCTAAGAATGCACTAAATTGCACCATTTTTTCAAAAAATCTCTGGGGGGATGCCCCCGGACCCCCCTAGCTGGTCGAGCACCTGCGGTGCTTGCTTTGCTAGGATCTCGAAATATGCAAACACACCAAAACCAATTTACCACCTCACAGACCTATTTGGCAAGGGGAAACGCTGCTTCTGATATACATGTGCATGTATATCGCTGTTGCGTCTATTGTATTTCAATAATCTCAATCGATCAAATCAGTCTATTAGTCAGTCGATCGCATTCCATCGGTGTATGCAGTGGTCATGCGAGGTTGACATAAAGGAAGTCCAGCATTGAGACTTACTCGCATTTCTGCACGCGACTACAGATCGATCTCACGGACCTTCCCGGCCTGAGAGACGAACACTTTGCCAACTTGATGCTGGAGGACAAGACGAAAGTCGCGAAGAAGCAGAAGCAGAAGGTCGAGGGGGAGAAGGTGCGCGTGACGCGGCGACCGGGGATGCTCAACATACCGTGCTCGGAGGAGGAGAGGGAGAGCCGGAAGCAGAACCAGGCGTGCAACAACCCGTGGCACAAGTTTGTCGAAGGAAACCTCATCCTCAAGATGGGCTACATTGACAAGAGGAAGGTTGGTGGAAGAAGCCGTTCGTCGCCTGTAAACACGATGGGCAGTCGAACCTGTGTCGGTAGTCACCCCTATAGAGTGGTCATCTATCTGCAAAAGGACACTCTTGGCATTTCCCTTGAGTGACAGTTATAGAGTAGAACTATAGAGTCCCAGACCAGCGGTTTAGAATGTATTCCCTGCCTCATTAGGTGGGTTTTCCTAGAGTAATCCTTATATACAGGGGTGACTGTGTCTGTGTGTGTGTGCGTGCGTGCGTGCGTGTGCGTGTACGTGCGTGCATTCATGTGTGTATGTACACATAACGTACATATACATATATTTGTGTGTGTCTGCGTGTGCGTGCCGTGTACCTGCGTGCATGCGTGCATGTGTGTATATACATATATGTATGTGTGCATGTGTTCGTTCCATGTTTCCAGCTGTCTGATGCTAGGATTGTTCATTTTGTGTTGCGTTGGTTGGTTATGTCAGGTTCTAACCTGCTGTCATGAATAACCAGTAGTTTGCTTATGAAAAAAAATACAAACTGGTTTCAATATAAAATGATTTGCTGCTTACCGTTATACTACAGCTGCAATGTCGTGCGTTTACAGGGACTTTTCGCAAGACGGCGCATGTTCCTGCTGACCGAAGGGCCACACTTATATTACGTGGATCCAGTAAACCAGGTCCTCAAGGGAGAGATACCACTGTCCAAAGATATCCGACCCGAGCCTAAGAACTTTAAGATCTTCTTCGTTCACACAGTAAGCACATCTATCGTTATCTAATAGTCTGAACTACAGGCACAAACTCAGTACACAAGGTTTGTGGTCTATTAGGGTACTATGTTAATGTGGTCACACAATTATCTGTCAATCACTTGTGTTACCAAAGTTACCAAGCAGCAAGGAATACAGGACAGTATAGGAAACTTTCAGGAAGGCATTCATTCCTGTATTTATTGTTACAAAATTTTAAAAGGAAAACAGACTAGTTTACCATTCCTATACGACTTCGTAATATAATATGAATATATATGTATATACGATAGATATATATGTATATATTATCCCTGTTATCTTTCAGCCCAACAGGACCTATTATCTGGAAGATCCCGAAGGCTACTCGCTGAAGTGGTGTGAAGCCATTGAGGAAATGTACCAATTGTACTTTGCAACGGACAGCTAGCTTCGCGCCGATGGTTCACGATTCAACCAAATTCGATCATATGCAAATTAGCGTGTGGCAGTGTGTTTGACACATCACGCTTACATCAAATTCCGCTTATGGGTCCTTACAACGGATCTACCTAGAGTTGCGTGGTGCTATACGATACAGCTCCATCGTAGAAGTAACTATCGCTGTAATTAAATTGTGTCAGGGCGTTGTTCGGTGTCGCGGATGGCGTGGCGCGGCGACTACGGTCGGTGTCTCTCTCGTTTAGTCGCTCTGCCTTGCCGTTTGCATAGTCATGAAATTTACGTGAAGTGCCGGCGTTTCGATGGCGTGATGATGACGCTGAGGGAGCCACTTGTAAAGCTGCCACCCGTTCGTGTTGTGTGAACGTGAGGGAACGCGTGCCGGCCGAACATTCTACGTTGTCGCCATTGACCAACAAATGCTCTCGTTGGAAGTTGGGCGTAAATGGGTTATGCAGTCAAACCTGTGTAAGCAGTCACCTCTATAGAATGGACAGCTGTCTATGAAGCTCACTTCTGGCGTTATCCTTGGGTGACCCTTATGTTCAGGTTTGAGTGTATACGCAACACTGGTTGACTGGGAATGTGGAAGTGAACACGGCAAAGGGACCTCTGATGACATCGCGTGATCAATGTGATGGGGTGCGTGTGTTTAGGAGAACACTGGTCCCCTACTTAACCTAATCATATCTACGTAAAACGTGTTTTTTTAGTAGAGAGAAAGTATTTGCAGAACAGATCTGAGTGGGTGTCAGAGCACTCACTCCTTGTTTTCCCCCAACATTGTATTATTTTTAGTGCAATGATAAACTAACTACAAATAGAAGTTTCATCTGCATTCTCACTGAAAATAATTGACTCACGTGAGCAACTGAAGCTTGACTATCAGTAAATCCTATTCTAGTTATACTTGTAAACCTGAACACTGCTTCGGGTGCGTGCCACATGGCCATGCACACTAGAGTGGTTTACACGAAGGCTTCATTAATTCTGCAAGTCACTCTTGTAAAAGGGCACGATTCTTTTAGCGCAATTTGCGCTCTCTTCTTCCATTATGCTAATTCAAGGGAGAGCTGTACTCGTTCTTAGCGTAGGCGATTCGTTCGGACGGTCGCAGCACTGTTACTGTACTGTTATACGCTGTTATACGCATTCAACGGGCACATTCGCCATTTCTAAGTTTCCTTATAGCAAATTTACGGAGAAGTAAACGAAGAATTGGTGATTGCCTGTAAAGCTAATGCCAGTCTTGATGATCAGTGGCTGCTACGCACTGCTTGTCTCGCGACGGCTGTTTCCAATGTTACATGTTGTACAAAGTATATTGCAAATGGCTTGTAATATTACTATTTGCCACCTCACGACATTCAGGCGTCAAAAGTGTACGTATTATATACATGTAATATAAACAACTTCACGAGGGTGCTTGTTTGAGTTGTTACATAGACCGTAATAAAGTATATATTACCTTTACACATTTTACATATATACGCATCCGTGCATACGTAGGTAGCTTACATGCAAACATGCATGCATTCATACAAGAGTCCATAATAGAATATTTCCTATTATGGACTCTTGATACATACATACATGCGTACTTACTCACACACGCAAACGCACGCACGACAAGCCACGCCCACGCACGCACGCACGCACGCATATCTCTAATATTATTATAAGGTTCTGAATGATTCTATTCCGTTTCAAATTGCGAGAGGAAATCTTATGGAAATCAAACTGCTTTAGAAATTTTTCCGCTCTATTTATTGGTGGTGTTAATTTATGTGTGAAGTAAAGCAAACAATATTGTATTGCAGCTACACATGAAGGTCGTACCCTTAGTATTACAGTACATATCTTCGTTCATCCAATTTAGTGAGTCCACCAAGATGCGTTCGTGCCGTACACAATTGGTGCGTATGTGTTCGTTGTATAGTGGGCTGTTGGTTATGTTTTCTGATCTGTATTGTAATTAAAACGGGAAAAGTAGCAGCCCACAAAAACTTGCTTTATGTCATAGCAATTTCGTTTGTATTGTACAGTGATGCTGGGCATCAGAGACGGACAGTATTTATATAGTCAGTAATTTCTACCTATTGTGTGAAGAAGTAACCGTTTAGGTAATTTTTAATATATCCCTGTATCGATTATCTGAGACCTTGCTTGCTCTTTGGGATGAAGAAACATACCCGAATTATTCTAATTTATCTGGTGCAATTGTCTATTCATTTGTGCAAATGTGCATGCATGATGGTGAATCACAGGTAGGTACTCGCTGGGAGATGTGTGAGGTGTAAGCTAACCCGGACAGATTCGCGTAGGTCGTTCGCAACATTAATATGTCGGGATGCTTGCATTTCCCCGCATCAGGTGTGCCGCCTACTTATGGACATGAACGCCCCCCCTCCCCCTCCCCATCCGGCAGTAAGCTGACACTACTTCACGCTTCCACCTATACTAGAGTGCAGACGAAGTATCACCGCGTATACCTATATACTATTACTGTTACAACATTTTTGCGTGGGAAAGACTGAGAAATATATTGACTGCCAATTTTGATTGCTGTATAAATTACTATGATGTAATAAATATGTTATTATAATTTAAAATATTGTGAGCGTCATCTTGTTGTTGAAACACCTAATGCGTGAGACTAGGGTTAAAACTGATCGGAACGGAAAATGCATTATGATGGATAATGGACTATGTTGATGACCACCCTTCGTTTCACCCCCCCCCCCCCCCGCCAGCACACAGACGCACGCACGAACACATTTACGTTGACTGGGAGCAGCAGCCCATACTAGTCATTACTCGGTGCAATTTGTACATAAGGAATTCAAGCTCGATCAAAAATTAAACCGAATATAACAGGTATTTTCTAAGTAAACTGTTGTTTTTTTACGTAGCAACATATTACAGCACAAATAGCAAATAAAGTTCAGCTATTGCCAGCTATAGTTGCCGATGACCTTCTGATGAGTTGCTGAAAATGATTTCACAAGAAAACTGTACAATATCACATTTAACAATTATAACGAACGAATAGACGAGAAGTTATCAATACTGGAATGCAATAGCTCACATAGCACTTAAAATGGAACTTAGCAATGGTTGCTCGCGGGGAATATTTACACGTATACCCCACGTATACAGGTATAATGCGCCACTATACATTTGTAAAACCATAGATATAACGTATATATAACGGTCGTTCAGAAGGGATATGTTCAGGAATACATAATTAATTGTTAATCAACATAATAATAGTTAATAATAATAATTTATCCGTATTATATTTGATATGTATTCCTGATAATGCTCTCTAAATATATCTAAATTACACAACCAAGCGCAATTTCGAAATGTCCGCAACTGACATGATTGTTAAATATGAGTCTATATATTTAGCATTGCACGCACTACGGAGAGAAACGTGAGAAGCAGGATAAGATAATACGTGTATATGATGTTACTCCTGATATAATGCTAGTCGTGAGACACTGTAAAGTAGTTTAAACGATGTCATGGAACATAAACGTACGTGTTAAGCGCACATGATTGTGAAGGAATCAGGGCGCAACACCTTGGCCGGCATGTATTAGTGTGCAACAGTGAAACTAGTGGTGTTAATTCATCCCACGACAACCATCTCATACAAAATCAGTTTCCATTAATGAAACAGTGATCATAATAATGAGAATTCTATATATGAAGAGCTTATTTGCAAAACTGCTTGTGTCCATTTTGGAGAATTGAGAGAAAACGACAAACAATTATTTGACACGTGGTTCAAACAATCAATCAATTTAAATAATTTTTACATTAGTGAGTAATTATGAGGCATAAATCATAAATAACAGGTGCCGATGGATATAAGCTATTTTGCAACTAAAGATGATTTATGATGCGTCTGTTAAGCAGGATGTGAGCTGTTTTGCAAGAAAAAAAGTACTCAACACGGTACCTATATGTTCACATACTATACATTTGTTTTTGCAAAAAATGAATGCAAGCAGTTTAGTTTTGCAAACAAGCTCTTCATATATTCCACAGACAATGCACTATATGTCCGTGCCTAATAATGCCTGTTGCGAATATAGACCGATTCCAAAGGTCCTGACTGAGGACTTTCAACGTCTCATGGAACCAGTCTAGGACTAATATACAATGTTACACAATCAACCTCCAATGTCCTCTACTTTATTACTTATTTAGGAAAGTCCCTGAACTGTAGCTATACAGGCACTCACGAAAAAAGTGCTTCCTGTTTTTATGGAGAATTATGCACACGGGTTTTTATGCCGTTACGGTGACCCATAATTGTGAAAAACGGATATCTGTAAAAGATTAACCGAGTTGTTTATGGCCAAAAGAAGCAATATAGGATGCTCCACGCACACCACTTAATCCTATAGACATTACTTTAACATCTATATGATCCATATAAATGTCTATTGGCACATGAAAATACACCAATAAAAACACAAGGCTGTTACAGTCATTTCTTCCTCTTCCTGTCCATGACTATTAAACCCTGTTTTCCACTCTATCACCTGCACTCACTGTCCTACAGATTTTCACGGAAGACTACAGTACATTAAAACTATTTTCATCTAACTGAACGTGTTTACTTTCTTTTACTCCTTACTTCTTTTACTCACCTTACGCACATAGCTTCCTTGCTTGCGTTATACTCACCTTACCCACGTACCTTACATTACCATATGCCACTACAGTAGCCACAACATAATTAATGTAGATGCAGTGGTTCAGTAGGACTTGCTTTATCAAGCACATATATGATATACATTGCAATAGCACAGTATTATCAGCTAGATGCCTTAGATGTATACAATCAAATTTTGTGGTCAATAAACGAAGTCAGGATATACCATAGAAAGGCACTGTAAACAAACTATAAATAATAGTATATAATAGCGGCTCGACAGTTGTTATCGTGTTCTGCACGTAGCTGTCATACTGGCAATAGCCACTAACACACCTGGTCAGTTCTGCATTGGAATATCATCCCCCATATTGATCTATCCTTCATGCACACCATGCACATACAATAGCAAAGGAAATAACTTTACCTTATATAGTGTAATTCAAATAAATAAAATGTAAACCACAAGTATGAATAGCCATTGACCCTGAATATTAACATTGCTAGACCACTTTTGTTCATTAGGCTGTACGAGAAGAATAAAAATTTCTTAAAAATTAAAAGCTATATATTACTTATAAAGCTTAAATACCTTGAATACTTATTCTAAAATTTATGACTAGAAAGCTTAAAAAAGCTTGTCTAAATATTATATAATTTATAAATAATTAAATTCTCTAAACGATTAAATCACATTATCGAATGATTGCGCTATTGTCTATGAGCAGACAAACTATGACGGACACGACATGCAAAAGTTGTGATCTGTAATAAAAGTAATCTTACAACGCTTCAGAGTTGTATAGCAGGGTAGCTTGGTTATGTTGCACAATCGTTATCTCAGCTGGAGTCTGTTCCCACGGCTCTCCGTCCACCTGCATAGGTGCATTGCCACCTCGTAGTGTCAACTGTGGACAGAGAAATGCACCGAATGTAAACCAGGGGGCTGTTGTAAGAAATGACGTAGATCTACAATAATAACCATTATCAGTACTGTTTATTAGTACAGTACAGTAATGTCAAACTTGTATATTACGGTCATTCAATAAAAATTCCAAAAGTGACTTTTATAGACAGGTGTTCGTTCCATAGACGTGACTGCTAACATGTGTTTACTTGTATCACAAACATAGAAAAAATTACGACCAATACCAATATTACGACCAAAATCTTTTGGTCAACAGCCCTCAAGGAATAATGAGGGACAAGTAAAGATTAGGTACAGATTATTGCTTGGCGCACCTTTACAGTTTTTGCTTGCCCGAGTAAAACAGGTTCTGACAGGCCAACTTGAAGCTGTGCTATGTGAAATGATGAGTAGATGCCAAGTACTTCCAATAAGCCATCATCTGTCCTAGAGAAGAGAAACAGTACAACGACATGTACTCATGTTTTATACATGACAGGATATGATTAGCAAAGGAAACTATTTTCGTATGAAGGAGGAAGGTATGGAGGTTCGTATTAAGGAACTGTATTAGAGAATACGAGATTTCTCTGGCACACATGCCAAAGATTTTTGTGCATGAAATCCTAATGGACCTAATGGACAATTTCCAAGTAGAAGCCAAGATAACGACAACGCTACCTGTAGACAGGCTTCGGCACGCTTGTGATAAGATCGAGAGGTCTGACGCCGGCTCCCCACGACCCGATGTTGAGAACAACAATGGCCTCAAGGGCTGGCATCTGCACCACTGCCCCATCAAGCTCCAGCTGCAGTGAATACATGAACAGTAAATGGTAAAAAAGGGTTCAAATTACGAAATTATATACGACACTTTGCCTCGTGCGTTATAATTGCAGTGCAGTGTACCTTAACTTTCTTGTGGAGATCAATGCACTCGCGTTCCAAAACGTCCTTGGTGCCGTACGTAACGTACGCCAACTGCTAAAAGGAAAGCAACCACAAATGACTGCAGATGCTTGTACATCTCAAACAAAATCACACCACGGTATGTAGCAATGTTTACCAACACTGAAAGATGAATAGTTTATTATTAAACAACGTTTCTGTCTTGATGCGATATGAGGGCATTCAATTACTCATAATATTGCTATCATACACCGGTGTCCCTTCGTTGTATTAAGATAACATGTGTAGTACATTTAATTTCCTAGAGGTGCCACCACCGAGTCAGCCAGCAGGAAGTCTGACAACTAAAGAATACAGTAAGTCATACAATCAGTGTCCAATTTTAAAAGTAACTTTTTCATCGGAGTTTTTACCATTTTTCAGATTGATTAACACAGGAATATCGACAAAAGTACCACATTTGGCTGTTATACCACAATATTGGGAGCAGAGAGGTAATATCAGATATCATTGTCGTATATGTTATCACTGTACCCCTGATGAGGCCATGAATGCAGGTGGGTAGTTGCTTCCCACTCCTTACTTACACACACCTTATTAATGAATCTATTGCTGAAGATTCCAGGAGCAGCCTTGCGACTCTTGTCAAAGTTCAAAGTGACAAGAGCATCCACGCCAAGAGACACGTAGTTGTTCATAAATAACGTCTGGTGAAATAGCGAGTTAGGGAATTACTGACTGCCTATATAGCAATTCTATTTAAATCCGGTATCTTAATTCAAATCAATTCAGAATCAAATACAGATATCGCACTAGCATCCATGTCAATATATATATTATATTCATAATCATTCACATATATGTGATGCACATCTCTCACAGTGTTCTAGCATTGCAAGAAATGGTCGTGATTTCTTTATCTACAGCACGCACATGCATATTCATAAATGATTACCTTTCCTGGTTTCCTTAGGCCTAGATGTCGTGCATGTTTGATTCTGATCTTCCACCTGGTCAATGCAAAACAAACACACGAGTTCTACAGTTTATAGACTTTACAAAACAGCACTTGAGATTTGTGACATCTGAGAGTCATCAATCAACTCATGTCTTTTGGATACACACACATAACGAGTTGCTTATTCGGCAAAAACACACCTGTCAAATCTGACCGGGGTCGCTTGTGTAACCTTGTCCAGAATGTCATGGATGTCCTCACCTGAGTAACCTATACCCCAGCCCAACACTCGTGACAGGTCGTTACCTGTCCCCAGAGGTATCAGCCCGACGTGAGGAGCTGGCTACAACAAACAGAACAGACTACTCTGCTGAATTGTGCCTCCCATGATTCTTTGTTTGACCCAAACCACATATATAAACGATTTTATACACCGAATGGTATACAATGAATTTTTAATTGCCATACAAAGATTTACAACAAATGTCTTGCCTAGATTTTTTAACTAGGTGCCAGGCATAATATAATGAATATCTATGAAACTTCTAAATGGCAAATAACCTCATTCCCCCCGAAATTTTCATCAAACTATCTAGGCATACAACTACAAATTTATTTAGTTTTGAAATGCATTGAGAATATCTACAAAACAGTTGCTTCAGTAAATATTTTGAATTCTTCAAGAAATTAAATGATTACATGTGATAAAATGAAATCCTACATATCATTCCAAGAAACAAAAGTACATGCTTTTGCAGCAATTGCTGAGTTGTTTTGTGGTGTGCAGGTCAACTTACATCCAATTTCAGCTTGTCGATGGTGGCTAGCACCCAGCCCATCGTTCCATCGCCCCCGCATACTAGCACTCTACACACGTGGTCGTGGATCATACGACACCACTCCAATCCACTCTCCAGTGGCAACTCGTCTATATCTATCACCTAACACACAGAATAATTTATTAGTATTATTATCAAGTTTCACATTCGCCACATAGTTATGGGAGCCTGCAAAGGCATGCATACACCCATGACCCATGCATGGTGCACGTGCAAACATACATGCACATGAGAAAAGAGAGAGAGAAAGAGGAGAACAAAAGAGCAAGAGAGCAAGAGAGAGAGAGAGAGAGAGAGAGAGAGAGAGAGAGAGAGAGAGAGAGAGAGATATATAGAGAGAGAGAGAGAGAGAGAGAGAGAGAGAGAGAGAGAGAGAGAGAGAGAGAGATATATAGAGAGAGAGAGAGAGAGAGAGAGAGAGAGAGAGAGAGCGCGAGAGAGAGAGAGATATATAGAGAGAGAGAGAGAGAGAGAGAGAGA